AATTGTGTAGTCACAAGCCAACCAATGCTTAGAGCCACCAGAAGCTTCCAGGAACAAAGAAGAATTCTCCTCTGGAGTGGGTGGCCCTGTTAGAGGGAGGGTGGCCCTGTTAACAACTCGATTTTGTGCCCCTGTGAGAGAATGAATTTTGGATTTTTTTCATGTTTATTTTAAATAGAGTTGTATATGCAAAAAGCTGAATTTTACTCTGTAAATTATACCCCAATAAACCTAAAATGCTAAAGTGTAAGTGTGGAAATATAAATAGCTAATTGTAATTGAGTCCTTGGCAAACCTTACTTCATCCAGCCTCAAGCCTTCATCTTGTGCCTTCAGCGTTCTTCTTGTTGCCCAAACTCAAAGAACATTACAAGAGAACATGACTGAGTCCCTCCTGTATACAAGAACTGCTGCTTTGAAGCAGTGTGAGTCAGAGCGCAGACCCCGTCAGGGCAAGGTTAGAGAGCTGGGATGCCACCTTCAGAAGTGTGTAGACCTACATAGAGGATGGAGAGAGAATACAATCTCTTCACATATTTTTGTTGAATAAAGGTTTCTACCATTTTTATCAATACTTTTTGACTGACTCATGCATTATGAATAACTCTCCGTGGCAACAGTGTTCTTCAGAAGGTTCCAAACTCAACTCACTATCGGACAGGCAAGTGCTGGAACAGAGTAAACTGAATGAGCAGGCGACGGTGAAGACGGGAACAGTGTACACATTGTCAAAGGGAGTAGTTATTATTCAGCTTGCCTTAAAGGACTATGCAGTTTGAAACATTTCTCTGTGACCTGTTTGAGGGGCCTTCGAAGAGTTTATGGAAAAATCCACGTAGAACTAAAATGTGATGGATTTTCCTCATGAACTTGGTGAAGCCCCCTTGTATTTGCCTCATGGGCTTCCAGTTTGCAACCTCTGAAGAAGAATGGAGTTTGTATGTCTGTCAAACAGCATGAGCACTTCAAGGCTTTTCCATTGAGTCAAGTTGCCCTCATGACAGGAGTCCTTGGGTAGTGCAGTTGAACACGCTTGACTATCAGCCAGCAGAGTGGAGGTTCAAGTCCGCCGTGGAGTGTCTCGGAAGAAAAGTTTGGCGTTAGACCACTGAAATATCAGACATGGAGAATCTTTTGGGGCACAGTTCTAGTCAGACACACACGAAGCCCCCGTGAGTCAGAGTTGACTGTACAGCAACTACGTTGTTCATTTTGTTTGTTGGTTTGCTTGCTTTGGGTCCTCCTGGTGGCCTTATCTCTCTGTAAGACGATTATAATCACATGCCAGATTCTACAGACTCTCATGCAGGAACGTCCTTTGACTTCTATCTACCCCGTTAGAAGAGTTTGGGGAAAAAACACTGGAAAGAGAATAGGGACCCAGGCCAATGGGAGAGCTCTTCATACCAACAGATTCTCTACTATCCTACGGCATTTGTACCAGAAGCTTATAATTTCAACAAAACAGCACACTCATATGGGCTGAGGAGGCCATTTGAAGGTCACTCAACTTTGTTAGGCAACGTAACTTTGAACATAGTCCATCAGGACATAGGTATTGATTCTGTTTCTACCAAGAGAGCAATAATGCACTAGCCTAAGGTGTGTTTTTAAACAGAAATAACTGACAAGAATTTGGTTTTATTTCTAACAGTAAGACAATCATGGATGGAGTTGATGTTTGCGTGGTCATTTGCTAATTAGACATTCTAACAACTAGATCAAAACTATCCTGATAATAATTTATAGCCACAGAAATATTCATAGACATGGGTGGGAGGTGGGTTCTTTGTGCCACATCACACGATAATGATCTTTCTGTGTGCTTCCTTTCTGGTTCCACGTTTTGTCTATCCCGCGAATACAAGCTTCGTGGAGAGATTTTATATGAGTCCCAGTTTATCTGGATGTTTCAGCCCAGCTCCCTTGTCTCCTGCGCCTCTTTCTGTGAACTTGTGGCATGGATGAGTGCTCGGCCACATGAGTGAGCATCATTTTCTTACAACAAATTGCTGCACTTCTAATGGTTATTGGATAGTTTCTTTTTCAGCTTGGATTTTTAGCTGGCTTTTGAAAATAGCTTATTCGAGAAGACACTATCTGAGGCTTGCCAGGTGACTGTAGAGTTTAACAAGGTCAAATTCCAATTTAGCGAATTTGCATTCTGCCAAAACAAACTCCTCTTGTGGTTTCAACATGATTCCTTTGAACGCTTCACAGGTTGGCTGGGTTGGCGGCCTTTCTGTGGTGGCTTTTTATCAATCATGGAGCAATGTGATACGGCTTGAAATTTTTTTTTTAATCTTTGAAAAATGCGATTCTTGTGATTATCCGTGATTCTTGCGATTATTGGCTTATTAAAGCATTAGCCGGAAGCATAACTAGGTTTCTTCATTGTAATTTTGAAGTCTGTTTTTAAAAGAAGCTTTGTTTTTCTAATGTATCTATATTTAACCGTATTTTCGGCAGGTTTACTGCTGTGGAACAGAGTCCAGGGGTTCTGGCTGATTCATTCTATTCCCCGGTTTCCCCCAATTCCTGAAGAAGGCTATGATTATCCGCCCACAGGCAGACGAAATGGACAAACTGGCATTTGCATAACATTCAAGTACAAGCAGTATAAAGCAATAGGTAACAATCAGTGTGTTGGGGGAGGGGAGGGGAGCAAGAAAGCCATAGGGTGGATTGAAATGGCCAACCTTTTCAGTTACCACAATGCTTCCACGCCCAGGGTGCCTTTGATTAGAGGTAGTCGTTTTGTGTGTCTAAGGGGTTAGGCAGGTAACAAAACAGGTCAAACAGAAAGACAGATACTACATGGTCAGTTCCCCCAATGGCTTCAGGTCTCCAGATTTTTTCAAGAGAAACCAGAAATCTGGGTGTGCCTGAAAAAGAAAAGTTCTGGTTTTAAAGATCGGTTCTTGATTGGTTTGATTTTTAATGTGCTCATTGCCTGTTGCCTGTAGGCCACTAATGTGATCCTGGAAGGCCTTTAGGTCAAACAGACAAATACTTCCTTACGACAAACTGTTGCTGGGGAGGAAGAGAAGCAGAAGCACTGCTTTACCAATCACTGTGTACGGAAGAGACTGCCACATAGCAGCTTCCAGATACATGAAAGTTTAAAGTACGTTTCTCTGCAAATCGTCACATTGTGGCAAGGACCAGTGACGTTCTCAGTCGCTTACCCAAGTCACCCTGTAGTCTAACTTACTGGGCCCATGTAGTGATTCTCTGTCTCCCACATCCACTGCTATCATGAAACCCCACTCACAAAGAACAAGATGATGGTAACTCTTCAAGGGAGCACAAAGTCTCATCTTTCTCCCGCAGAGCAGCTGGTGGTTTCAAAGTGCTGACCCTGTGGATAGCAGTCCACTGTGTAACCCACTACACCCTCAGAGAGCTGAATAGCAGAAAGGCTAAGTGTGCCCTCTGATGAGATGGTCATTCTTGAGCTTGATGAATGGTGCATAGTTACTCTACATGTTTACATATGTACATATGGAAGGAGATCATGTGACCTTCAAGGTCGGACTACTTGAGTTCAAATGACAAGTCCATGCATCACAAGGTTTGTCATCTTGGATATGTGACAACAATATCTCAGTTAACTCAACTATGCAATGAAGATGAAGGTAATAAGGATTATATTAATTAACCCAGATAAGACTCATAAGACAGCATATGACAAAACAGCTGAACTTTTGTGTTTTGTTTGGCTTTTATTCCATAGCAACTTCTAGAATATCCAATGGGCAGTTCTATTTGTGTCTAACGCTCATCTTTTCTTTACTGACTTTTGATTCAGATGCTCAGCTCTTGATCTACAACCCAAAGATCTACAGTTGCTCCATCCCCGCCACCTTTCACCGGGAGCTTGTTCACATGCCCCAACTGTGTGCCAACTCCAGCTCATCAAAGAGCCCTGGCAGGCACCTCGCCACGTTCCAGTCAGCCCGGGGACAGACCTTCCTCCATTTTGCAAAGTCGACTTCTTTTCTTGATGGTAGGAAAGAACATAGTCCAACGTGATGTTACATGCCTGCTGCTGAATCACTTGTGATTGTTTTAAAGGAGTATGATTATTCAGAGGGTTGGGTAGGGAAGGGAAAGGAGAAGAGAAGTTAAGGATCCATCCACACATTTATCGGCGTAATTTCCATAGCAACCACAAAGGGCCTCACAGTCCATCAGCCAGGGACCAGTACAAGTTCATGATCTCCAGCGTCTGCTGAGCAGGGGCTGCAGCATCTCCCTCTTATTCCATTCTCTGAGCAGGCCTTTGAAGGCTTCCTTACTCCCAAGTCCTGGATTTCATCCTGCCTCTTCACTTGCAGTTTCTCCTTTTTCTCCATAAAGAAAACAGAGATCACCAAGAAGGCGCTACTTCAATATCATACTCCTGCCCCCTCCCCACATAACCTTTTGTTTCTGTTCCTTTTAACTTCTTTCCTCTCATCCTACCAGAATCAATACACCTCCCCCGACCTGACAGTTAGCAGCAGAGCATCTAACCAGAGTGCCACCAAGGTCGTCCCCCCTGTCCCAGCCTCAGAAGACCTTGATTCATTGACTTGGTCTCTTCTTCCTGTTCTAGCTCCAGCTCTCCCATTCTGCAGGCCCTACATCTGCACACATAAATATCTCCTTCCATTAAATCCCCTATATCCCTCTTCTTTTTTTTCCATTTCAAAAAGTGAATTAAAAAAATGAGTCGGGACTTCCATTTCTCCCAGTGCTCTTTCTCCAGTCTTATCCCTTTCTGTACACCCTCTGCTTCCTCCCTCACCAACGCCTGTCCTGGTTGACCTCACTGATTTCTCTACTCGCTTGCTTCCTTCATTCATAAATTGAAGAACTGTTTACTGAAGGGATTAAAACAATAAAGAGGACAAACATAGCCCTTGTGGAATCTGACACTCGTAAAACTCTCTCCTTTGTGAAACACTTCCCGTCACTGGCTTTTGGGAGGGTGTAGTCTGTGGGTCTTATGTTTCTTCTTCCAAATCTGCTGCAAGATCGTCGTCTGCCTGCTTCTTGAGTGACTTTCTAGTTGCCCTGTGGTCCTCTGCGCTGCTCCTGTCTCATACGACACACTCATTACTGGGAAATTCTAGGGAGCTCTCCGAAAATTCCCAAGTCCAGCTGTATACCCCAGACTTCGTTTCTTTTTTTTTTATTAAAAGATCATTTTATTGGGGGCTCTCGTAGCTCTTATAACATTCCACACATTAATTATATCAAGCATATTTGTACATATGTTGCCATCATTATTTTCTAAACATTGACTTTCTATTTGGGCCCTTGGTATCAGCTCCTCTTTTTATCCCTCCCAAGCCCCCTCCCACCCTCATGACCCCTTGATAAACTATAAATTATTATTATTTTCATATCTCACACTGACTGCTGTCTCCCTTCCCCCACAGTTTCTGTTGTTCTTCCCCATGGGGGGTGGGGGTGGTTATGTGTCGATGATTGTAATTGGTTCCTCCTTCCTCCCTTCCTATCCCCACTTCCCTCTACCATCCTGGTACTGCCACTCCCTTTCCTGTACCTGGATTCTCAGGGTCCTGGACTCTTATCTCTTATCTGTGCCTATGTACATGCTCCTGTCTAACCTGCAGTGAAAGGCAGTAACTGGGGTTATGATAGTGAGGGGTGAGGGAGCCTCAAGGAACCAGAGGAATATTGTGTGTTTCCTCGGTGCTATACTGAGCCATGGTTGACTCATCCCTTCCTTGTGACCCTTCTGTGAGGGGATGTCCCATTGTCTACAGATGGGTATTGGGTCTCTGCTCCAACCCACACACCCCCTTCGTTCTCAACAATATGGGTATGTTTGTTTGTTTGTTTGGGGTCTTCTGATTCCTGTTACCTGATCCCGTGGACACCTCATGATCACTTAGGCTGGTGCGCTTTTCCATGTGGGCTTGTTGCTTCTCTACTAGATGACAACTCGTTTAACTTCAAGCCTTTAAGACCCCAGATGTTATATCTCTTGATAGCTGGGCACCATGCGCTTTCTTCATCATATTTGCCTATGTGCCCATTTTGTCTTCAGCAATCGTGCTGGGAGGGTGAGCATCAGAGAACGCCAAGTTCTTAGAACTAAGTGGTCTTACGTTGAGACAGGGCTTAAGCAGAACCTTGCTTTTTTTTTCTTTCTCTTTTTAGTCAATCTTTTGTTTTCTTTTTGTTTTGTCTCCATTATTGTTGGTTTTCCCTTCCTATATAAGATAGGCATGGAAAACAAGCCCAAGAAGAAAGCAACAGGACTGGCGGATCTGTTAGGACTTGGGGGGAGGAAGAGATGGGGGAAAGGAGCAGTGAGCTCCTTAGACAGGGGAACAACTAGGGAATTAAAATCAGCAACAAGGAGGGTATAAAGATCCCGGGGGTGTTGGAGCAACAGCAACCTAGCTGAGAGGAAGTACTAAGAGGCAGAAGAGTGGGATGGTGGGAAAGGAGGAAGGTAAAAGGAAACAGAGGAAAGATCTAGGAAGCAAAGCTATGGATAGAGGTATAAACATAGGTATGTACATATTTAAATACATTACTTCATAAAAATAGAGGTACCTATGTACATATATTTATATGGCAATACACTGAGGTACCCCAGACCTATGTACAAATATTTATATGGCAATACACTGAGGTACCCCAGACTTCTGTACTGACTCGTGTACTCAACAGTTAATGAGGTGTTGATATTGGAAGTGATGTGGTCACATCAAATTAAACATGACATCCTCATCCCCCTCAAACATCATCATCCCCAACACACTAGCCCTTTTTCTTTTATTCTGCAGAAATATGGGAGTCATTCTAAATATCTCATTTTTCTCACCCTCTGTCTCATCAAATTCGGTCAAGTCCATGCCCTTAATGCATCTCACCTTGCACAGTCTCCTAACTCTCTGCTACTGCCTTTCCAACACACACTGGCTTTACCGTCACTCCCTGCTGCTTTTCCCAGTTCCGGTCAAGCTCACCCTCCTGGTTTGAGAGAGCATTGATTCTGCTGTGATGAGAGGAAATATGAAAAAAGTTTCAGCCTGAACATTACCTAAATTGATTATTTCCTAGCATAATCTGGCTTCTGTTAATTCCTCATGAATCTTTCTTTAAAACACCCTCTTGCTTTTAGGAAAAGCCAGCCTTTCACACTGCTTGCAAAGATCCCCTAGAAACTGGCCCCTGCTTACTACACTGGCTTTATTCTTTTCAAAAGTCTTTTCAGAACAAAAACATGTACTGCTCCCTGGTTTGTATGACACAAAGGAAGTTTGCAGACGCCAGCACAGCAGAGGTAATGATGATAATGACTTTACTTAACTATCACTCTTCGTGTTTGCAAAAGGCTTTCTCACCAACTTTCTTGATTATATTTATTGGGCTGGTGACATCACACATCATGGATGAATAGTGATTTCCACTCCTGAAGATAGGTAAGCATGGATGCCAAGCTCACTGTCTTTCTCCTTATAAACCCTAGACATCTTTACAGCTTGGATGGCTCAACGGTTGAAGACACACTTGCTAACCGAAACCTGGCAGAGGAAGACACAAGAGCTTCCTTCAAACTGCTCCCTTCCTTATCATGTCTACAATGTCAAAGCAATTAAGATACCAGGAAAATCTTATTTTAGCTCTCATCAGGACCATGCCAAATGGTGTATTTCCATAAAGGGCGCCAAAAATCTCTGGACATGTATTGGAGATTTAAATCGGAGCCCCTACCAAGCTTTCAGAAGTGGAGGGTTCATTTGTACCCAGAATCGGCATATTTACCAAGCATTTCGAAGATTAGTTTTGTATTATGAGAATTGTAAGTAAACTTGGTGAAGGGATGCATGTGCATGTAGTCTCAATGGGGACATGGATAATGGATCATCTTCCATTAAGTGCATTTTTTAATATTAATGATACATACTTACACTTTACTTATCATCAAATAAAATA